CCCTACAGTCTGAAATAAAATGGTGGATGAAATTGCAATTCACATTATGCACAACACTGATCAGATTTATTTTTTTTAAGGAAGAAGAACAGAAAATGAAAGCTAGTGTATAAAGAAACATTTTAAGGCAATGAAGTTTTTACATCAATGGACTTTCATCAGGGCAAATTAGCCACTTACACAGCCATGATTCTCACACATTTAAACATTTATATCCTTAAAAATTCTCAGATTTCTAAGGATAAACAGACAAACATTTGTAATACATCTTTTTTTTGTCTAAACTGAGTAGTGTCACCAACTGTGCATCAAAAAGAAAAAAGTAACTAAGCTACCTGCATTCTAACATTGACAAGGCTATCTTTGCTATGCTATAACCCATACTGGCAGTAGAGAGAGGGTAGGTACTTGCAGTGTTGTGACAGGTGGTGAGAGAGAACAGGAGTTCTCTGTCATGTGGTTTTCAATGTCCCCAGGTGTTGTGTGTGCTGAGAACACTCGTTCCCACACAGGCTGCTGGCCAAGACAGCCTGCTCTCACATGCTGGAGACACATGGACACTAGGAGAGGAAGCCACGTTGACCAGCTCTGAACCTGCCCCTCACCTCCTTCCAGTCCTAATTCTGTATTTCCAGCTTCATCCACCTTTCAACTTAACTCTCTTCCCACCTGAAATGACCCAAGGACAAATTATTTCAAATTTGCTCTGCTCCATCTGGAGCTTATCCAAAGAGAACGGAAACATTTAAATTTGTTTCATTAAGTTTTGGAACAGACTCTGTAACAGTGCATTCCAAGTCAGCATTCATGGGAAATGCAGTTCAAATGTCTTCTCCCAAAGCTTGCATTTTGTGGGGTAGGAAAGAGAAAACTAATACACTCAAATTCCTGAACCTAGCCTATTGATTAAAGCTATGTGAAAACATTTCTGCTGGGGACAAAGCCAGCTGAAAAGCCTCAGTAGTTTTGGCAAATTCACTAGTAAAAATATTTGGTAGACATCAACTCACTGTTCTTGCTATGATAAAAGACATTATTTCCAAGTGCAAACTGCTTTTCCTTTCATTATTCATTTTGGGACTAATACGAAGCTTGGTAAAGCAGCGAAGTTCCATTCCAATCTGAGCTTGGGCTTGTTCCCTTTTCACATTCCCTTCCAACTTTTCACATTTGACATCCATTTAGTAGTATTTGCCTACAGTGACTGAGTACCCTGAATTTCCTGGCAGAGCTGAGAAAACACAGTCTCTAGTACTTGATTTTGTTCCTATTTCTATTGTTTGTTCTGCATTTAAAATTCCTTCAGACCCATCTCGGCATTTGGGTATTAGAGTGCAAACTGCACTACAGTCAGAACTATCTTTTGGTGACTGATACCTCCCCCCCAGTCCCTTGACAAAGTCGGTCTGTACGAATCCACTATAAAGCACTAAAACCATCTCATCCCTAGAGATAACATTCCATTGTTCTCTATAGAAACAAACAGATTTTTCACACACTCATACAATTATTTTTTCCTCCTAAATATTTCACCCATTTTTCTACTTTGAAAATAAAATAATGACATCAATTCCTTTGGCTTAGACAGATACTTAGTCATATGTATTTCTGTTAGACTTGATTCTACCTATCCATACATGAACTGTTATATTGAGTGTGCATTAGTAGCATCTGTGCAAATAAGAGAAAAAGGGGAAATTTCACTATCACCAGAGATACTCCATGTTGATGGTATGAAAAAAGCAGCTGAAATAGTTCTTACATTCCAGGCTGAGCCTGCAGGACAGGATGTCAGAGAAGGCTGTAGCCATTTTTAAAACGAACACCCTTAAACAAAACTTCTGGAGACACTAGACTTTACCTGTCATAACACAACGTTAATCCAGTAATAGTTCAGAGAAGCTCAACATGAAATGGATGTGTAATGTAAAAGGGACCAGTTTCATGTAAAAAAAGTTAAATCAGACTTTAGTTGAGATGTTGCATCAGCTTCTGTTCTTGTTTCTGTCTGGCAATGATTCTCCATTTTAGAAATGTTTTATCTACAATTGCTGTCTCTCGACTCCTAGAAAAAACCCCGAAAACTGACCACAACCCAGTCTGGCACTTAGGCAAGTACTTTGTTGAACATATGGATGATCTTGGAGAGGTCAGGAGGATCCTCACGTGCAACCAAGTTAAGTATGCTTACCTGTTTGCAAGCTCACTGGGAGTCTTAACTGAATGCAGAATAATTGCAGAGAAACCAACTATACTCAGTCACTATAAAAATGCACGTAGTAAACATTCTCAGCTCATGTATTCCTATGGCTTATCATTAATATGAATCTATCAATGCTCCACCTAAACCAGGGCTTGGCACAGGCCAGTCAACACTGGCATCTCTCAACATCCTTTAAAAATGAAGAATAAAACAAGCAGTGAAGTGAGCTATACTTCTTGCTGAATAATGACAAATGCACAATCATTTCAACCTTGATGAATCAAAGTACCCCACAATCCCATGAGGAACAAAAACTGAACAGAATTCTGAAAATTCAAGAAACTATTCCTAAAATTTGGGGGTTGTTCATGCAGTGCTAAACCAGCGTTTCCATAGTACAACTACGGGTTTTCAGTAATTAAGAACACAAGTACCTGTAGCCTCCTCATGGCTTCAGAGTCATGATCAGCCTTCACTTTGCAAGCCACAAGCAACTGTGCTGTAGAAGCTGCCACTTGTTTGGCAGATGAGATGAGCTTCTCTTCACTGGCGTGGCCTTGTACTGAGGCATTAGCTGCTTCACAGAGATTGCTGGTTGCAGCTGCCACCATTCGGGCCTAGGAGACAGTAAAAAAAAGTCACTGTATATTCTCACAGGATACTATTTCTTCAGAGAAGGTGTTAATTTTCCTATAGAGAAGTAGCTACTCACAGCAGAAATAAGTCCCTGAGACCATTGTCCATCATCAGCTGCATTTGCCGGGATTGCTCCAACCTGAAAAACAGTTCAGAGGTGGCTTGCAAGGAAAGAGAAAATACAATTGCTTTGTCTCAGACTACAACAAACAGTAATCCATGAAAAAAGGAAACACTTGCACCCGTGACTGTGCCCAGCGCATACAGGAACAGAAAATCCAACTGGAAGTTAGTTGTCAGAGTAAGTGTGCTTCCAGCACGTATCTGCCTGCTCATGTAGTGTCCAGCTTCCTAATTCTAACCTAAATTCTTTAGGTTTCAAGGTTTCTTTGCCTAATCATCCCAGAAAACATATTTTAAGTAGAACACAGATGCAGGAGTCTAGTTAGTGATATCTGTATTTTGTGTGTGTGTGCACGTGTGAGTGATTGAATAGAGGGGTGGTGTGGAGGAAGATAGATCAGATCCAGCTTACCAGACTTCATCTATACTGCAGAAATGGAAACAGTTGCCTAACATCAAATGAATTATTTTATAACAACTCCACAGGGGAAAGTAGTTTCACTTAAACTTTCTTTAGCAAACTCTTCAACTACAATATTGCACCAATTTGTCTTGTAAGGTACTTTCACAGCCCCTACCAAGCAATGACAGCAATTTATTTGGGACAAGAACAAGCCTGGTTCGCACACACCCACGCAGTTGGGTAAGAATTTCCCACTGCCTCCACACTAAATGAAAAGGCCCGTGAGGAATCTAAGCCAATAGTCAGTACCATTTACTGTTCAGTAGTGAAGTGATGGATGTGGAACAGACCAAACTTGTCCTTCCCACCTACATGCCAGCCATGCTCTTCTGGGAGGAGTCCATACCACATGCCTCAGAAGATTTCTTACAAAAGCAAAAATTTCCCCCAATATCAGTAACAAAATCTTCCCACTAGGCAGGTTGGAACCATTCACTATGGGCAAGAATTTGGTCAGTCATTTTAGAAGCCAGCTCCCTGTACTTCTGTCTGACTGGAGATACAGGCTACCACAGCAGTCAGAGGATACCCCATAATGACAATTACCTAAGCACTAGTAATTAGTAAAGAAAGAAGAGAAGGAAAATAGGTTAGGGCTTCATTATTTCAGAAGTATCTTAATGGCTTTGTTTATTTGTGAGAAGTATCATGATGCGTGGATGTGCCGCAAACAACTCTGAAGTTTGATGCTTCATTAAATTTTGATTTTGCTTGGGATTAATTTCTTCTTTTAAAGACCACAGTGTTATTTGTAGATCCTCCAAGCAGGCAAGAAACTATCAGTAAAAGCCATTCGCTGCAAAAATTCCTGATCTTTCAGCAAGTTACTATAGAAGAGTGATGGATAAAGCAAAACAGCTAAATTCAGTAATGCAGGCTGAACAGATCTGCAAATATGGCACTATATTTGACAGGTGTGCTTCTATTAGAACAGCAAGTGAAAGCTTTCCTCAAACAGGCAGATTAAAGTGGTTTTAGCAGTTATCTGAACTTGGATGGAATAGGATGCAAGTACTGTTAGCCTCAATCTGAAAGACACAAATAGGAATGTATCTGTGGGAAAAAAGAAGCCAAAACTATCTGAGGGAGATTCAGGGCTGGTACCAGGATAGAAATACATTCTGTATTATTCTGAGTAACTTTACAGTGGTGGTGGTGAGGAAAGTAAAGCAAGCTATATGTCACAATGAAACTAAATAAGAACAGGTCTTATCACATAAAAGCAGACTGCACAATAATCTAACCAAAGCAGGTAAGTCAAAACTCTCATTTTTCGGACTGTCTACACAGCCAGATTTCAATGGGTATTAATAGTACCTTGTTTTGTATGTTATTGGTAAGTTCCATAGCTGCAGCTTATGGTGTGTCTTTTCAAACAGTTACATCACTATTGTTCTGAAAAAAGTGCTCCTGGTGGATCTAAAAGCACAAGCTGCCCAGGAATCCTAGCTGAAGTAGACAGCATAGCACTTTTGTGACAGGATCCCAGACAGTGTCTGCTCAGAATAAAGAATTAGATGAACCTGGAAACCATAACTATACAACAACAATGATCCCATAACAAATTGTTCTCACAGGCAACACATCTGTTTGATGTGCAGATTTTGAGTTTCAAAGTATATTAACTAGGAAAAAAACCCCAGTAATCGGTATGAAATGAATTACAAAGACCTCAATCCTGACCAGACCAAAAGGGTGACACATGTTTTAAGCGCTCTTTCTGTTGGTCCCAACAGTAATTACAAGCACGTCCACTTAATTGTACTGAATTTGCATGCAGGCCTGTGTCCCCATTGAATCAGACAAGAAAACACTGAGGACACAAATTAGTGAGGCCCTTTGCTATTCTGGTCCAGAGTGGTTTTGTATACTTGACATTTGGTTTTGGATCCCCAAGCTGTCTCGTGGGACTATACATTACTAGCTTGAAATACAGATCTTCATGAAATGAAAAAAACCCCACAAACACAAAAACTCCCCATAGCTGAAACATCTGAAGAGCCAAACACTTGATTACACTTGCAAGGTTTAAATAAACATAGTTGTGGGTTTTTTTAAAACAGAACCAGGCCTGGGCCATGTATTGTGATGAGCAATGAAAAGATTTACATTTTCATTAGTCGTTCCCAAGCTCCTTTCCTGCTGTTTTAAGAAAGAACAGTTAAGAGACTAGGCTCGATTTTGACGCTTCCCCCCCCTACTGTTGCTACTTGTCCTGTTTACCCACCTTTCCCTGTGCCACCAGTTCTCTCTGGGCTGCTGAAGCTGACTTCACGAGGGCACTGGTAGCAGCTGCAATGGATTTAGCTGCTTCCAGGATCTGTTCTTCAAAATCCAGAGTCTCATCTGCTTGCTATAACCAAGAAAGAACAATGTCACACATTATTCACCTGAAAGCAGCTGTATTTTCAAGATTGAGGACATATACAAAATGAGAAAGAAGATTTTGGGACACATCAGTAAATTCAATAAGACCTACAACATCATTTTCTGCAGAGAACTTTCATGTCGACTAAAGCTGGTAGTCAACATAAGTGAATTTAAATATTAAGTTACCCTTGTGACTGCTCACACATGCAATTGGGTATCACGCAAGATACTTAAATAATTGCCTTCAGCTTTCTAATACAAACTACATCCAGAAAAGTGCAGGGCTGAAAAGAAATTCTTATTTTTCCATATCAAGATTATATTTGTAGTGCTATAATAGTGGCTTCCAGGACTGCTAAACTAGGTAGAACATTTTCTAAAGACTTAAAGCATTAATAAAGAACAGTGATAAATGTATATTGTCTCATTCACCTGTACTAAGAAATGTAATGTAGATACCAAGCAAGTGCATAGATTTAACAGCTTTTGGTAAGAGCTGTCATTTCACAGAGAGCAGCATTGTGAAGCAGTCCAGTTTAGTCATCTCGGAGTTATGAAATTCCAAAGGTCTGTCTGGAAAACTTCGGTCATCCAAATGTATCTTTCAACAAGCATGAGCAAATAGAAATGTTCCATAAAATAACAACTTCCTTGCCTTTCTATCATTTAAACAAATACTGAAGACATTTATCCATTTAAACATGCTTACTAGCTTCCGAAGTTTACAAAGGAGATGGAGATAAACAGTTATTGTTATTTTAAACAGAGCCAGGCCTGGGCCATGTATTCTGATTGGGTTTTTTATACAAAATAAACCAATAGGTATTTCATTTGTGATCAAATCATATGCCTACCAGAATCCAATGCACTATGACCAGTAGGGCTAGTGGATACCAATACCAGAGCAGACCACCTTGTGAGATGAAGCTTTTGAAACAAAGGTTTCTTCCAGCTTATGCAACCACAGCATTCTTGCGTCAAGTAACTAACTTTAGGAACACCAGCCAAGTGGGCTTTGAGTTAGAAAACTAGGCACTTCATTTGCAAGTCTGAGCGCATCTAAATTTAACTCAGGTTTAGTTCTCCTGTCACTGCAATCTGATGAAATAGTACTAATTTATAAAATAATAAGAGATAATTATGAGTAATTACAAATCATTATGAAATTGCACATCAAGCAGTGCTTGGTCCTACAGCACTTTACATAACTGCCACATAACTAAAACAAAGTCCAGGAGATCAAACTATAGCATCCATAGACACCAGAAAAACTGAATGATCTGAAAAAAACCCACTGATGTGTGGGTGAAGTTGTTTGGCACTTTAAATTTTTTCTTATCCATTAGGAAAAGCCATGTAAGTCAAGGAAAAGTATTTGTCTTGCCTTGCTCTTGGGCTAATCCCATCAACTGAAGCATATGTCTTTGTAATAAGAGTATAAGGAATTGCTTTGTAAAGTGAGTGAGTCATGTTCCACATGAATTTTTGGCAATGTTTGCAATGTAACATCATGGCCATTATTATATCTAAGTGGTAATCATATTGGTCCTGAATTTATGCAACAGGCCTCAGGTCTTATTTATAAAACTCTTCTTCAATCATGATATCACAGAACCAAAGTGACTAAATGGAATTCAGTATAGTTGCTATCAGATTTCTTTTCATTATTAAAATAGATGCATTGTTGACTTTGATTTAAATTGACTAAAGTCTTAAACTGAAATATCAACAAAAGTACCACTGGGTGATAGTCAATTTAACAGACTGTTTCTGTGCTTACACTTTTAACAGACTGGTTTTGCACTTTTACTTTTGTCCAAGCCTCCCTGTTACTGAGAGGTTTTAAATTTTCATTTCCAGCATAACAGAATATATTATGTGTGTTACTCTTTGTATGTCAGAGTTGTCAGGAATTCAAACTTAAGCAAGGGAGCATTTCAGTATTTGCTTATTTATTATAAAGGAGGTGTCATTCTTTCATAAAGTTTAATAAAATGCCCATGGCCATAATCTGATCTATTAGGCAGCTGTGTATGTGCCCAGATGGTGTTCAACTTGCAAAAAAACAGCCACGAAAAAGATGCTGAAGAAAAGGAGTTGTTTGAACTCAGTTTAGTGTAGTGAGTGGACTACATATTGCACATAAGTGCTAAGCAAAAATGACTACTGCCAAAGGGAATGCAGAGAAATCAAATCTTGCATTACTGAGGATGCTGTTGTACAATGGTTAGATTAATTTCCACAATGCAGGGAGCA